TCCGCTCCAGGAAAAAAAACCCAATTAAAAAATGGGCAAAAGACTGTAACAGACACTTCTCCAAGGAGGACATACAGAGGGCCCAGAGACACATGAAAGGATGCTGAGCATCACTAGCCATCAGAGAGATGCAAACTGAAACCACAATGAGATACCACCTCACACTGGACAGAATGGTCATCATAAACAAATCAAAAAACAAATGTTGGAAAGGATGTGGGAAAAAGGGAACCCGAGTACACTGTAGGTGGGAATGCAGACTGGTGCAGCCACTGTGGAAAACAGTCTGGAATTTCCTCAGAGGACTAAAAATGAACTGCCTTTTGACCCAGCAATTCCACTACTGCGATCATACCTTAAGAGCCCTGAAACACCAATCCAAAAGAACCTAAGACTCCAATGTTCATAGCAACACAATTTACAATAGCCAAGTGCTGGAAGCAACCAAATTGCCCAACAGCAAATGCATGAATCAAAAAACTCTGGTGCTGTTATACAATGGAATTGTACACAGCAGAGAGAAAGGAGCTCCTACCCTTTGTGGTAGCATGGATGGAATTGGAGAGTACTGTGCTAAGTGAAATAAGCCAGGCTGTGAGGGACAAATACCATATGATCTCACCTTTAACTGGAACATAATCAAAAAAAGAAAAATGCAAACAAATATAACCAGAGACATTAAAATTAAGAACAATCTAACAATAGCCAGAGGGCAGGGGAGATGGGACAGTGGGGAGAAGAGTTTTCAGGAACTACTATAAAGGACACATAGACCAAACAAAGGGGGAGGGTGAAAGCAGGGAATGGAGGTGGGTTTGGCTGGGATAAAGGGACGGAGAAAATAGAGACAAGTGTAATTGAACAACAATAATGTAATGTAAAAGAAGGAAACAATGAAGACCTAGCCTCCAAAACCCTAGTGCACTATGAGAAAAGAGATGGCTCTGGCACTGTGGAGTTGGAAAGATGCCTTCAATGATCATTCTGGTTATCATCAGCAGATGGGTACCCAAGTAGCAAAGTCAAGTTCAAAAAGGGGGGAAATGTGGCTAGGGGAAAGTAGTTGAAACCTTGCTGGCAGCAACTCTGTTCATGCATACACATCCATTTCATATTCAAGAAAAGCAGGAGCCCATTGTAGTTAAACTCCTGTCTTTGTCCTAATCCTGCCTGCCTGCCATGTTGGCTAATTAAGACATCAATGAGAAAGGAAGGTCTGCTCCAGCTAACCCCAAGACTGAGAGGTTGACCTTCACACAAGGCAGTGTTCAAGTGTGCAAAGAAGGATCATTAAGATAAAATGGTGTTATTGGTTTACACCAGTATCATTAAACTATACACACCAGAGTCTCCAGGTCACTCTTCAAACTCAGGATAACCATCATGAAGAGATTGCAGATGTGAGGGGAAAAGCACCTGAAAGCACTCCAATAAGGGCAACAAGGAGTTTATTAGCATTTCTTCCCCAAACCTAAGAGCAGTCAGATCTGCATGATCAGTGCTAGGACCAGCTGAATGAGTTCAACATGAGAGAGAGTGACTGGAATTTAACCACCTGGCCTGACTTAGCATTCTTACTTTGCAACCTACCAAATATTTTCTTTCTACAAAATTAATCAGATCAGTTGGCATCTACAGCTGGAGGTAGCAAGAAAGCAGAGAATGCATCATATGCAAAGCTGTGTGCGCCCCGGAAAGGGAGGGGACAACTCCTGATTAGGTGTCTCTTGGTCTCCATCTGCCTCTGCCAATACCCAGAGACACTAAACATGAGTGGGACGTTAAATGGAAAGGTTGACATGTCTCTTTCTATTCTGACCTTAGCTCCACAAATACGTGTTTCTAGGAAAGAAATGTTCAGCCAACTTTGGGACCCAGCATACCTCTAATGCTACAGCTATGACCAACTCAAGAACTTTAAAAGGCCAGAATTAGGAAAATGAACATCTGAAAGTGGAGCTGTAGGCTGCCATCCATGAGCAGGTAGTTCTATCTGCAAGGCCAGGGCCACTTAAGACTTGATTGGGTAGTGCACTATCAACAACAAGTTAAGGACACAAGGATATGTTCTCCTATCAACTGTTGCATCCTGACATGATTTGCAAAATTGGGCACAAGCCTGGGAAAACACAACAGATGTCCCTAAAACCACAAGCCAGCATTAGAGCTTAGCAAGCTATTCCACCCAGATCAACTTCTGTTTAGGGGCAGCAAGGGAGGCATCCTTTCCTAGGGCCAGACAAAACAGATTTCAGCTCTTGTGTGTTGTTTCATGATCCCATCTATGAATGAAGCTTAATATGACCCTGCTGGGTCCAAAACTGTTTGGTGTACAAGGGATGGAGGCAACTGATGTGTTTTTCCCTTCTGTCTCATCCTTCCTGCTTGCCAGACAAAGCTCCTTAGATCACCTGGTGTAATACATAGCCCTGTGCCCAGAAGGTCCCCAGCCTATGCTGCCCTGGTCTTGGCTGTCCAATGCTAGTGCATGATTGCTGAACCCCAGTGTTCTGGGACAGGCAGTCAATGCAGGATGAGAAGTTTACCTGAACCCTCCATTCACTTTGATATGAAATGTTAACTTTACCCTTGATCAGGCCTCTAAATCACGTTCCCACTACTGATTATTTCCCATCAAGAGCGCTGCATTTGTTTGTGAACACCAACAAGAAGAATTTCAGTACAACTGTCATGTTATTTTGGCATGCAAAACCTATCAGTGCTAAATTTGTTTGTATTTATTCATAATTAGTAACAGAAAGAGATCCAGAGTGATAGAACAGGCAACCTTCTAAATGTGTCAAATGTCAAATGCTCTGTCCCCTGGCTCACCCCCTGCTGTGCTGTGGGTGACAGCAAACAGGTCATAACAGTCGTAAAGAGCAGAGCAATGAGCAGGTGAACTGCAATGATCTGCTGAGCACTAGTGTGCTGGCCAGTGTTTAACTTCACCATAATCCAGCTTTGGAAAGGAAGAGGTATTATTCATCCTCATATGCAGATGAGGAGAGTCAGACTCAAGGGAAAGGCATTGTCCCAAGGTCACCCCACAGGGAGATGGTAGAAAAGCAAAGCAGTTTCAGATGTCACTCAGCATAGAGCCAGCAACATTTCCCCATGAAGTTGTGCTACCACTCAAACTGGGTAAATCACTTTTCTAATCCCAGTGCCAGTTGAAAATGCAAGAGCCAGCTAAATCTTTTGAGTTCTTCCATTCTCTTCAAAAGAAGACACACACACACAATGAAGACAGATACTAAGTGAATTCCCTGGCCCTGGGGTATGCCCTTCACAGGACTGCCCTCATTGGTCACAGAAGTCAAGGAAATACTCATGGAGGTGCAACAAGGTGGGCACTGAACTCAGTTGAGGCGAGGTCAGGGCAGACAGCTCCACAACTGACCCACCACACTCTGTGGGGATATTGTTGTGCCTTGGCCAAGCAAACCATTTGAAAAGTCTTTGAACCCTCTTAGGCGACAACTGCTTTTACAATAGCTTTCACCAGGCAGCCAGTGGAGTTGTGGGAGAGTTCTTGGATGAAAGGGAAGCTTGCAGAGTGAAGAGTTCCATGCCAGTCTGTTCCTGGATATGTTAACAAGAGCATCTGTTGCTTGATCTCCAATGGTCAAAAGGCAAAGGTTTGTTTTGTTGGAAGGAAAGACTTCCATTTTAAAATGCTCACTGAGGGAACCATCACCTGAGAGGAAGCTTCCTTCCACTTGGGTGGCTGGAACAGTGGCCTCCTTTCTCTAGCTGTAGGACCCCTCTGAGGCTGTCCTGTTGGCTGTCACTGGTACTATGTCAGATGCTCTCACTTTACAATAATGTTAGGCTCCTCAAAAATGGGGGTTGCGTACATTTCTACTCTCCTCCACTGCATAAATAACTGTTCTGTGCAGAGCATGTTTGTAAAGAGTATCATTACACTCTAAAAAGTGACTGCTACATATTTCAAGAATATGTTGAAATTTTTCTTTCCTGTAACTTTTTTGTAAATCCTCACCCGAACATATGTTTATTGATTTTAGAGAAACAGAAAGAGGGAGAGAGAAAGAGAGAAATGGATGTGAGAGAAACATGTCAATCTGTTGCTTCCTCTACAAGCCCCAACTGGGGATGGAACCCTCAACCTTTTGGTGTACCAACGATGCTCCAACCTACTGAACCACCTGGCCAGGGCTTTCCTGTGACATAGGAAGGACAGGAAACTTCTGCTCTTCTGCTGTGCTTCTTCATAGTACAGTGCTACTGATTCATGGGTCCATCCAAATTATTTCACTCTATTGAGTGTCCCTAAATGGCCCTTAATTAAGCCCTTTCTAATAAACTTCAAACCACAAAATAGACTCAGAGAAATGCCAAATTAACCTTTCCAACAAAATCCTCTCACTAGGAGCAATGTCAGGGTAGCCCTCAGCAACTCTACAAATGCACTGCAAACATGCTCAACACACAGGCTAATGTTGACTTGTGAGGCCAGAGTCACCGAACTTATAATTACTTGATGTTTTCATAAGAATTTATAACCTAAATCCTCTTCATTTGACATTTATTTTGGCTCCTTTAAATTACTGACTTTCTACCAGAATTTTAATATTTTGTGACATTAAAGCCAATCATTGGGATGGGATTTATATTATATCCTTGTCCCAAAACCAATTTTGTTTCTTTCCATTTAGAAAATTCCTTGCCTTCTTAGTTTCTTCTCCCTCCTAGGTGGTCTAACTCAATCCTTTATAACAAGAGTAGTAGATCTTCTTAAATACAAGTCATATTCTCTTATAATTGCTACACAGAGTAATTCTATCCAAATAGAAAGGGGGAAAAAGCACCATGGTTTATGTATTAGGTTATATACCAAATACTTCCTAAGAAATTCTGGCAAATGAAATAGAAATGATATGGTCTTGACAAGCTACTGAAAAATAGAGTAGAGATTCCGTGTCACCGCGTCTGGAACAGAAGCTGATAAATGCTCATCTCTGCTCCTCACTCACCTCATTGCTCCTCCTCAGCTTATTTTCTGTGGTCTGACTCGCCCGTAAGGCCTGTTGGGTTTGGCTCAAATGTTGCTTCAACTCTTCCAATTCTCCTTGTAGCTGGTGCTTTCCTGATGTGACCTACAGAGAGAAAAATAAGGCCAAATGTAGTTTTCTGCTGTTTACTTTGTAAATCATAATGTCATCTTGTATAATAAAAGAGTCACTAAATAAAAGAACAGGCCCTTGAAGTAGGTTGAGACTCTTGATGTGAAAGACATGGGTCCAACTGCAAGCTTCACAGTAGAGTGGTGTGATGTGACTGGCATGATAAGATCCATCTGGCCGATGGTTGTTAAGAGACTGAGGAAGAAGTGCAGAGCAGGGAGACAAGTAGGAGGCAAGAACAGTAACCCAGGTGGGAGATGACATGGTCTGGGGCCCTACACAGCCATAGACGTGGTGGAAGTAGTCACATTCCATGTAAAATACAGACAGAGATAAAGCCAGGAGTGTTCTTAGCAGGGAGGTATGTAGCACATGAAGGTTTCCTGGGGTAGCTGATGACACTCTACCCCAAACAGATAACGGATATAAGAGAGCATGCCCAATAATCATTTATCATTAATTATATATTCTATATACATGGCATTTTAAAACAAGAGTTTAAATGTGCAAGATTTCAGGACCAGATGGAGGTGTACATAGGTACTCGTTGCTTTCTGTCACAACCAAAAGAACACAACAACAAATTTACAAGAAAAACCAACCAAAAATGCCAGAAAATCAAACTGTATGGAAGTCAGACACCCAAAGAGCTAAAGAGGAAACATACATTCAGAATGCTAGGAGGGGCAGACATGGGCACCTGAGGTGGAGAAGACACATGGTAAGGTGGTAGCTGGAGGACCAGGTCAGCAAGGTGGTGGCTGGGGGACCTAGTGTTCCCATATTCGTGTGTGGATAAATTGGAAGAAACATCTGGGGAGCCACACAGACTGTGCAACCCTGGGTTCCAGTGCAGGGAAATGAACCCTCAAAACCTCTGGCATTAAAAGCGTTGGGAATGATTTTAGCACAGGAGACACTCCCAGCCTCACAGGAGAGGTCATTGCAGAGACCCACAAGGTACCAGAATGTACAAAAGCCCATACAACCAGGAATCAGCACCAAAAGGGCCAAGTTGGCTTGTGGAAAGCAGGGGAAGTGACTGGAAGCCAGCCAAGAGCCAAGCAGGCAGCACTGTTCCCTTTTTGAACCCCACTCTGACTTACAGTGCCACAGTGGAAGGACTGAGTTGTCCCATTCTGGTCAATACTGAAGGTTGGGCCCATTAGAACAAAACAAGCACTCTGAAACAAAACTTTGGCCAAGAGGAAAGAACACATCAGTTGTCCAAAAATAGAATGAAGGGATGAAGAGATAACCAACCAGAGCTGAAAACACTGGTAACTGGGATGCTCACACCAATGGTTGAGCATGCAGGCCAACAAGAGAAAGAAGTGAAGGCTATGCAAAGTGAAATAAAGGAGATATAAAAGGACTAACATGACAGGAATGACATTGGTACTCAAATCAAAGTTTCAGAGCAAACAGAAGAAGTAAACATTCAACCAAAATAGAACGAAGAAACAGGAATTCAAAAAATATGAGGAGAGGCTTAGGAACATCTGGGACATCTTGACACATTCCAACATTCAAATCACAGAGGTACCAGAAGGAGAAGAAGAGTAAGAAATTGAGAACTTATTTGAAAAAAAAATGAAGGAGAACTTCCCTAATGTAACAAAGGAAATAGACTTCCAGGAAGTTCAGGAAACTCCAAGAGTCCCAAAGAAAGTGGACCCAAGGAAGTACTCAACAAGGTACATCATAATTACATTACCCAAGATAAAAGAAAAGCAGGGAATTTTCAAAGCAGCAAGTTGAAAGGACATAGTAACCTACAAAGGAGCTCCCATAAGACCATCAGCTGATTTCTGGAAAGAAACCTTACAGGCAAGAAGGGGCTGAAAAGAGGAATTCAAAGTCAGGAAAGGCAAGGACCTATATCCAAGATTACTCTCTCCAGCAAAGTTATGATTTAGAAAGCAAGCATAGATAAAGTTTTTCCCAGATAAGGTCCAGTTAAAGGAGTTCATCACCACCAAACCCTTATTATATGAAATGTTCAAAGGACTTATCTAAGAAAAAGAAGATGATCAAAATATGAATAGTAAAATAACAATAAAGTCACAACTATCAACAGCTGAACCTAAAAATAAAAACTAAGCAAACAACTAGAACAGGAACAGAATCACAGAAATGGAGATCACACAGAGGGTTACCAGTTTGAAGGGGTCAGGCAGAATGGGAGAAAAGGTATAGGGAATAAGAAACATAAATGGTAGATACAAAATAGACAGGGGGAGGTTAAGAATAGTACAGGAAATGGAGGAGCCAAAGAAGTTATGTAAATGACCCACGGACATGAACTAAGGGGAGAGGGAATGCTAGAGGGAATAGGGGTGCCGGGTGCAGGTGAAAAAAGGGGAGAGAAAATGGGCCAGTTGTAATTGCAGAATCAATAAAAATATTTTAAAAAGGACTTTGAATGTGCTATATATAATGTACACACATATACCCATATACACATGGGTGTGTATACAAATAAATAAAGGTAGACTCGGCTGAGTGGTAATGACTCATTTGGAAGTATGAGAGAAAAAAGACAGGTGAAGATGACAGGTAACACTTGGCCTGAGCAATGTGAAGACCACAATTGACATGTCCTGAGATGAGAAAGTCCAAGGGAGGAGCAAGACTGAACAAGCAGCTCCAGTTCCAGTACTGACATGTGAAGTGTGAGATGCCTTTTAGAGATGCTGAGCAGAAATGTCAGATATACACTCATGAGTCTCAAGTTCAGGACCAATGCTCCAACTCAAGATATGAGCATGGCAGCCATCACCACAGAGAGAAAACCTAAAGCCACACAGCTGGATGACATCATTTTTGAAATGAGTGCTAAACAAGCAAGGGGATGTAATTTTCAGTGCTTTGAGTGTTTCAGGGCAAAATGACTTGGGAGATCTCCCACCTGGAGATATCCCACCCAGTTATCTGACCAAGAACCAGAATGTCAGAGAGCTCCATAGACCCTGACATCTGAGAACCCCACTCCTCACGCTCTCACTCACTCACTGTCCTCTTGTCAAAATGAGAGAAGCCAGACCCACACAGATTTCCTCTGTTCTCCTGTTTGAAAGTACAGAGGGTGAGGCTGGAGCATATTTCCCTCCAAAGCATCCCAGGTCAGCTGTGGGACAGAGCTAACATGTCCAAGGACAAGGAGAGGGAATGAAGTGAGGAGCACCTACTTTATCCAGCTCTGCCTGCAGGCTGTTGCGAGCGTTCTTGGCCTGCTGCAGCTCCTGTGTGAGTCTGCCTTTCACCTGTGAGCTCTCTCTGTACAAGATTTGGAAGGCACGCTGTTGACTGGAGAGCTCCTGAAAAGAGAAATGCATACTCTCAGCACTGATGATGGTGCACAGGCAGGTTCCAGGGTGACACAGTCATCCCATAGGATATGTGATGGCAGAGCCAGAGACAACAGGAAGCCTAGCTGACCATTCACTCAGTCATAAACATCAGCAGCCTGATGTTTATGTACAGGTCCCAGTCATCCAATCCTGGTTTCCGAGGGCCAGGACAGGAGCCCACCTGTTGACTGCACCACCACTATGAAATCAATCACCTCTGTTTGAAGCATCCAGGGGAAAAAGAGAGTAAAGCTGAGCTGCAACCATCACAGTTTAGCTTAGAAATCAAACACACTCATGAATGGAGCTTAAAACTATAAATACCTTACACCACTTCAGATTGACAATGATGCAAAGCATATGAAAACAGTGAGCTTAGATCAGTGCAAAAGTACACCAGAGTAACATTTGCAGGCACTTTCCCTTTGACATGTAAGTGTGCTTGTTTTCTTTCTTTCTTTCTTTCTTTCTTTCTTTCTTTCTTTCTTTCTTTCTTTCTTTCTTTCTTTTTTTGCCATTGGGTTTTGGGATTTTTTTTCCTATCATCTTAGTGCTACACCAGGTACTAGCAGCTTTGGCTAGCAGCTTTGGCTACTCATATTTTGGGCTGGGGACAATGCCTTTCTTTAAGGGACAGTCCTGTATTATAGGATGGTTACCAGCCTCCTGGCCCCTAGCCACTAAGTGCTGGTAGCCCCCCACTCCCCATCCCAGTTGTACAATAAATAAAGGTCCCCAGGTGTTGCTAACCATTCTCTGGGAAGAAAGATTTCACCCCTTTTTTTTCTGGCCAGATGGACTCAGTTGTTTGCAACATCATCCTATGAACCAAAGAGTTACAGGTTCAATTTCTGTTGGGACACATGCCCTGGTTATGGGTTTGGTGTCCAATCAGGGCAAAGGCAAGAAGGAACCAATCTGTGCTTCTCTGTCACATGGATGTTTCTCTCCTCTCTCTTCCTGTTACCCTCCCCCACCCTCTCTATACATCAATGGGCATGTCCTCACATGAAGTTTAAACAAAATCAGCCCTGATGGAAAACTGCCATTCTAGACTATAAAACCCATGGTCTTAAGTCTCCCCTTTCACCGAGGAACTAGCAGAATGTGTGGTATCTCAGTTACCTCAGAAATAATAGCTGCCATCTTTCAATACTTGTTCACCAGGGGGTCACTCTGTAAGTGATATAAGTGTCTAATTGCTAGCCTCTACACCTGAAGCTAATGGAAAACTAAATGTCAACCAGAATGAAAGCAAAATTTAATTACATTTAAAAATATGGAAATGCACAATTGGTGATGATTACTCCAGGATGCAGAATACCTTCCTTCTGGGTAATTCTCTGTGTCTTGCCTTGTGTGTGTAAGTTGTTCTGTGAGACACTCCATGAGCTAGTGGACAGTCAGTGTGTATGTGAGGCTGTGTCACACCCAGATGAGCTCCGATCTGCAGACACTCTCATTGGAAGTCCGCAGACCCTCCAACCATGGGACACACTGTCAGACCAACTTACCTCCTGCTGGCAGCTGTCCCTCCTCAGGAGCATCCTCAGCCCTTACCTGCCACCCATCATCTTTCCCCACTTATTTCATTGACTACTGTTCTAAAGTGTTTGCCAGCCCACAGGCTTTCAAAGCAGACAGGGAATGTCATACAATTTCCATCACAACAGAAAGGGTTCAAAGGAAGAAATGGGACCTCTTCCTACTGTGAACAACAATCTCAAATAAATCACAAAACATGGATGAAAAGGAACATTCTCACTGCCAGTTGCTTCTCCAATCAAAACCTGAAAGACTCAAAGTATGAAGGGAAACACATGGACTTTCTCCTCACACAGCATTTCCCTAGCAGAACTTACCAAGTGATGACACAGGGCGGCTCCTCCTCTCACTGAGGGTACTGAGACACCGCAGACAAATGCCTCATGGACCTGTGCACCTTACCTCTTGAAACTGTTTTCCTTTTAACTTGAGTTTCTGTTCCAGAGAACATCTGGAACTTTCTGCATTCTGTCGATAAAGGCTCAAATCTTCAGTCAATTTTTTCAGCTTTTGTTCCAATGCAGTATACTAACGACAAATAAAAATGTACAGTAGAAAAACAAAGTGTTCAAGGAAAGAAGTCATATTTCCAACATTACAAAAATGAGTCCCAAGTTCTGGTTCAGTTTATCATTGTGTTTTGACATTCTCATTTCATAAAATATTGGGTTTAAACTATTAGACATACAGGGAAACCACACTAGTGATTTTAGTACACACAACATTGATGTTTGGGATATAGGAGCAAGAATGTAAAGGCTTAGACCACTGAAATCCTTCCTCATGTGCACTGTGAAAAGGAACTCAGTGTGTCAGAAGCAAGGTTCATCGAACGTTTAGCTGCATTGGACAGATTAAAATGAAGTGATGGTTGTCGAAATTATAGTCTGTCAGATAATCAGATGGTTCCCGTTACTCTCAAGGGGTAGTCTGTTTCAAGCATATTACATTCTGTGACAAACTGTAAACATTAAAAGGCTTCTTTCCACACTGCTCTCGCTTTGCCATTTTAAATTTCTGGAGATTCACAGTGCTCCAGTGAATACCACACCTGGTTTTTAACCAAGCTGCCATGAGCAACACCAAGAACCTTCTTTTGTCTTTTCACAGAGCCTTCCTTCCTTAAAATCATCCTTTAAACATGAACTACATCAAAATTATGGATATTCCTCTCAAACTAAATGGAACCAAGTGGTCTGAAATCTTCAAGTGCTGAAATCCATTCCTCTCTCTTCCCCGTGGTGCCCACATCCTGAAACTGCACCCACAAAACAACTCTGAGAGCCCAGGGAGGAGTCAGAGTGGGTTTTGTGGGTGGGAGAGAACTGCCTGGTCCAGAATGAAATGTGCCCAATGGGGCAAATCCCTCTACTAATGTATTCTCCTGAGACACATCATAGTCCCATTTAGAACTATTACAAATAGTAGGGAAGTAAGAGAAAATTCATTAGAAAAACAGAACACTATGTAATACCTTGCCAGAATACCAGTCAAACACCAATCATTAACTAAGCAAAGATTGAAAGAGCAAAGCTGGTCATAAATGACCACCAGGTTTTACAAGTATCAGAAATGTCAAAATCTCAACTTCAAAACATAAAATATTAACCCAGTGGTTCAAATTAATGTCCACTGCCTTGGATATTAAGACACCTTTGTCATTATCCTTCATTTTCTTGAATTTCAAATCACCAAGGAAAAGTAGTATAACACATTATTTATAATAGGCGTGAATTCAGTAAACATTGATTGTATGCCTGCTAGATGTCCAACAATGTACTAGGTACTGGGGATACAGCAGTAAACAATTCAGATGAAAACCACTGCCCACTTAGACCAGAATTTTGGATGTCAGCCAATGTCAGGGGGAAAAACCCACACAGGGTGTGGTAGATGAATGAGCACTTGGCCCCCTCTGCTGGCCCCTCTTCAAACTGCAAGTCACTCCATGAAAGGATCCCAGAATCAACAATTTTTTCTTCCTAGAAACAGTGGGTTAAACAAGAGCTTTCAGGGCATTTTATTTATACTTGATTTAAAATTTAAAAAATTACATCCTGATATTGATGGTGCACAATCACGTCAGAGTAGCTAAGCACTGGGTGTCATGATGTCCCAGAACATTCTGAAAGAGTGTCCAGGGCTCAAGTCCCTGAATGTATGCAGCACAGGACCGTGGCACTGAATGTTCTGGGCATGAGGTTGTCACCTGTACACTGTGGGTGGTGAACTCCAGGCTTGGTGCAAGCCCCAAGACTTTGTTTCTATGTAACTTCAGCAGCTTTGTGTCCCATGTGGCTCATAAATGCTTAATAAAGAAGCATTCCAGACACAGCAGGTGTTCACTGAAGAACATGGCATTGACTTTGGTTCAGTGAGCTCCATTTCACTTAACAGGTGAATGTAATGGTAGTTCAGGGAAGAGCATAAACAGTGCACAACTTGACTTCAGCAACAGATTTGACCAGGTCATATTGTCCTTATAGGCAAGACAGGGAAAGGCACACTGAATTTTTAGTTAGGTGGATTGTAGTTCAGGGACAAATGAAATCATAAAGCATTGAATGAACAAGTTGGAAGAACCTGGAGGGATGACTAAGAGAAAGAAAGCAGAGCTGTGGTCTTAGCACTCAGCATTGTCCTACTCAAATATTAGGATTCACCATGCAGTTGGAAGAGACTTCAGCAGGTATGAAAGCTAGAACAAAGATTCAGCGCTCTTGTCACATCAAACCAACAACACAAAAGGTGAAAGGGTAAGTATGATTCTTATCCAGAGTAACAACTGAGCTGGCAGGAATGCAACTGAAAATGAGCTTCATGGACAAAGAGCTCAGTGTTACAATAACTACTAATATCAATATAAGTTCACCTGTTCAAACACTATGCTAAAGCCTTCATGGAAATTACTGCAATCTCTACAACAATCCTATGACACAGGCTACCTTAACATCGTTTTTAATGATTAGGCAACTGAGGCTCAGAACACCATACAACTTTGATGTAGCTCTAAGAAGCAATGCAAGCGGGAGGTCGGAGAGCCAGAACTGAAATCCAAGTCTTTTTAACTTGGAAAACCAACTCAGACTGCACAAGACAATGCATATATTGCTCAAGGCTGGCCACAGTCCCTTTGACCCTCCAGTGCACCCTCGTCCATCTGATCGGTACCTCTCAAGAATTGCTCTGTGCAAAGCACTGCACTAGCAGAATGTCTGAAAATGAACCCAAACTACCACTTCCAGAAAGACAAGCTAGATGTGCATTTCCCTATTCCTCCCATCAAGAACAACTAGCAATTCTGGCCATTACATCAAAACAAGCATAAGAAAGCTCTAAAAGGAGAGGAGATTGATTGACTTCGGACTTTGGGCCCGGGGGGAAACTTCATGGATATAAATAATACCCTGAGGCAGTACCTTCCAGGAATGTCCAGGAAAGCAAGACATTCTCAGGGAAAGGAAAACTAAGACAATCTGTGGCCGGCAGAAGAGTTACAGAAAGTTCTCTGTACAGGAAATGATGAAAGGACGGAATTGGAAGGGAACTGAAAAAAAAGAGGAAGGAAGCATATATCAATATAATAGGCTTTCCTTCCCTTCTTCAGTTTTCTCAACTGTGTTTGACAGTTGCAGCAAAAGTGAAAATGTTGTCTGAAACAATTCCACATAGATGTAGAAAAAATACTTAAAATTCCATTAGAAATAGAGTAAGATAACAAATGAATAGAGAAGTAAATTTTCTATAATTTATTACGGCTGGTAGAATGACAACACCAACAGACAGTGATAAGCTGTGTGTACTGATGATGGAATGTCTAGAAAATCACTGTAAAGGCTCTACAAAAAGTACATTCAAAAACACTATAGCTAAACAATAATGGAATTTCAAAATATGTACAACTAACCCTCAGAAAAGCAGGAAGAAAGAAAACAGATGGAAAATGGAAAGAAAAAGAAAACAAAAAATCAGATGGCAGACTTAACCATGGACTATCACAGATTACATTAAGTGCAAATAGTCTAAATTCACTAATGAAAAGAAAGATATTCAAAGAGTGGATTAAAAAATACACCCAAATGACTTCCGGCCAAGATGGAGGTATAGGTAGACATGCTGTTCCTCCTCGCACAGCCAAGATAGAGACAACAACAATTTAGAAGCAGAATAACAACCAGAACTGACAGAAAATTGATCTGAATGGAAGTCGAACAACCAAGAAGTTAAAATAGACATGTTCATCCAGATCAGTAGGAGGGGCAGAGTCAGGAAGCCGGGCACGGGTCATGGTGTGAAGATCAGAGAGCCAGAGAGCATTGGGACTGGGCACATAAGGCATCTGGGGCACTCAAGACCACAGTGGGTGGACCCTGATCGAGAAAAGGGCAGCTGGCAGACCCAGCGAGGCAGCGATTGCGAAGCAAGGCTCTGAGCACAACCCAGGATCCCAGTGCTGGGAAATAGAGCCTTGGGGCACTGATCGAAAACACCTGTTGGGGGTAGAGTGGCAGGGAGAGATTCCCAGCCTCACAGGAGAGGTCCTTGGAAAGTCCCATCCACACGGGAATTGGCACCAGAGGGGACCAGTTTTCTCGGGGGAAGCAGCGAAAGGGACTGAGGTCTGACAGAGAGCAGAGCAAGAGCCGTTGCTCCCTCTTGAACCCCACCCCCACATACAATGTCACAACCCAGTGACTGGGGTACCCCTCCCTGGTGAACACCTAAGGCTCTGCCCCTCATACATAACAGGTATGACTAGACCAAAGGGGAGAGAAAAAAAAAGATGACTCAAACCAAATGAAAGCCTCACAACCAGTACTTTTAAGCAACCGAGAGATAGCCAAACTATCAGATGCACAGTTAAAAGCACTGGTGATCAGGATGCTCACAGAACTGGTTGATTTTGGTTGCAACTAGAAGAAAAAGTGAAAGCTATACTAAGTGAAGTGAAGGTAAATGCACAGGGAACCAAACAGTGATGGAATGAAAGCTGGGTCTCACATCAATGGAGTGGACCAGAAGGAAGAAAAAAACATACAACCAGAAAAGAATGAAGAAATAAGAATTCAAAAAAACGAGGAGAGGATTAGGAACCTCCAGGACATCTTTAAATGATCCAACATCTGAATTATAGGGGTACCAGAAGGAGAAGAGGAAGAGCAACAAGTGGAAAACTTATTTGAACAAATAATAAAGGAGAACTTCCCCATTCTAGCAAAGGAAATAGACTTACAAGAAGTCCAGGAAGCTCAGAGAGTCCCAAAGAAGTTGGACCCAAGGAGGAACACACCAAGGCACATCATAATTACATTAGCCAAGATTAAAATGAAGGAGAGAATCCTAGAAGCAGCAAGAGATAAGGAGACAGTTACCTACAAAGGAGTTCCCAACAGACTGTCAGCTGATTTCTCAAAAGAGACCTTGCAGTCAAGAAGGGGCTGGAAACAAGTATTCCAAGTCATGAGAGGCAAGGACCTACATCCAAGATGAGTCTATCCAGCAAAGCTTTCATTTAGAATGGAAGGGCAGATGAAGTGCTTCTCAGATAAGGTCAAGTTCAAAGAGTTCCTCATCACCAAGCCCTTATTATAGGAAATGTTAAAGGGACTTATCTAAGAAAAAGAAGATAAAATAACATGTATAGTAAAATGACAGCAAACTCACAATTATTAACAACCACACCTAAAACAACACAAAAACAAACTAAGCAAACAACTGGAAAAAGAACAGAACCACAGAAATGGAGATCACATGGAGGATTAGCAACAGGGGAGTGGGAGGAGTGGGGGGAAGGTACAGAGAATAAGTAGCATAGATGACAGATAGAAAATAGACAAGGGGAGGGCAAGAATAGTATGGGAAATCTAGAAGTTAAAGAATTTATGACACATGGACATGAACTAAAGGGGGGGAATGTGGGTGGGAGAGGGTTGCAGGTTGGAGGGGGATGAAGGGGGGAAATGGGACAAATATAATAACATAATCAATAAAATATATTTTAAAAAATACACCCTAATGTATACTGTCTACATCAAGCTCACTTCAAGTATAATAATATAAATAGACTGATAGTAAAAAGACAGAAATAAATATCACAGCAACATTAATCAATGGAAAGCCAAAGTGGCTATATTACTATCAGATAAGGTAGACTTCAGAATACAGGAAATTACCAGAGACACCAAGGGTACTATATAAGGGTCAATCCACCCAGAGGTCATAGCAATCCTAAATGTGTATGCATCTAACAATGGAGCTACAAAATATGGGAAGGAAAAGCTGATAAAACTGAAAGGAGAAATAAACAAAGGAACAATTATGGGGTGCTTTCAACATCCCATCTCAACAATTGATAGACCTAGACAGAAAATCAGCAAGGGTTTAGAATTCAGCAATACCATCAACCAATAGGAGATACTGCATTTTAGAACCCTTGACCCAATGAAAATATGCATTTTTCCAAGTGCCCATAAAACATATATCAAAATAGGCCATATCCTGGGCCATAAAACAAACCTTAACAAATTTTAAAGATTGGAGATCCTAGAGTATGTTCTTTGGACATAATGGAGTCAAATGAAAAATCACTAATGGAAAGAGGAAAATCTCCAAACACTTGGAAGCTAAACAAATTATTTCTAAAGAATACATGGGTCCAAGGAAAAAACATTAAATGCATTGAACTGAACAAAAAGTAAAATACAATATATCCAAATTGTAGAACACAGTTAAAGCAGTACTGAGAGGGAAATTTATAGCATTAAATGCTTCCATGAGAAAAGAAGAAAAGTCTCACATTAACCATCTAAATACCCAACCTCAACAACCTAGAAAAACAAGAAGAAAATAACCCAAAGCAAGCAAATGAAAATAATCGAACAAAAATCAATGACACTGAAAACAGAAAAATAAGAGAAGCAATGAACCAAAGAGCTGATTTGTTAGAAAAATCAATAAAAGAACAATGAAACTGGCAAATCTTTAGGAAGACTGACAATGAGAAAAAGGAGGAGATACAAATGTCTGCATACCACCTGACACACAGGCATCAAAAAGTATGGAAATACTGCAAAAAACTCCACATACATGAATTTGACAATTCAGTGAAATTAATGATTTCCCTCCAAAACACAAACTATCCCAACTCATTCAATATGAAATAAGTCATTTTAATAGCAATGTCAATATTTTAAAGTTGAACTTGCAATTTTAACACTCTCAAAACAGAGATCTCGAGGCCCAGATGGTTTCATGGAGAATTCTACAAAATGTATAAAGAAATAACACAAATTCTACAGAATCTCTTCAAAATAGAGAAGAGGAGGAAATGCTTCCCAGTTCATTTTATGGAGTTAATGTTACTGTAATGATCTCTGATACAAATACCAAAGACAAAAAGAAGAAAGAAAATCGCTGAGCAATATACCTCATGAATATTGACACAAAAATCCTTAACAAACTATTAGCAAATAAAGTTCAGAACTATATCAAAAGAATTATACACCATGGCAAGCAGTACTTATTCCAAGGATGCAAAGCTCATGCAAATATTTAAAAAGCAATAGTGACAAGGCATTATTTCATAAAACTCAGTATGAATCTTCAATTATCTTAAAATGTAAAAGATTGTTTTTCACAAGATAAACTCTTCCTACAAGAAATATGTTGGACATAGGGGTAGGGGTAGATACTACATTGGTGTTTACCTTCTGCCTTAGAAATTTCTAGAGTTTATTAGAAGTCAATTCCTTAAGTCTGACAGGACTATGTTTGCAAGTTTCTCTGTGATTCTGACAATGAGCCAAGTGTGGGAACCCCACAAACAAGGGGATGCCTGGAGAAAAGATCTCACTGCATCAAGAGCAGAGGGAAGGAGCTCACAGGAAGAGAAGCATGGCAAGGGCATTGCAGAAGGAGAGCATGCCAAGCAGAAGGAGCCTGGGCTCAGAGAGAGATTAGGTTCATGACACATCCAATAGGTATGGGTGGCCCCAGAAAATAATTCCTTTTTTCCTGCACTTGTTCTCAATACACCATGCTGTCTGTGACCTCTATATCGGTGTCCCACCCACATTAGGGTGAAGATCCATGAGGCCATTGACTTTTGTCTGATCCCTCACTGCTCCATCCCCAGGTCTACAAGAGGGCCTGACACATTCAGCAGTCTTCATGTCTTTGTCAAATGAGTCTGTGAGCAAATGACTATGGGAAATAGAAAAGCAGAGAGATAAGTTGGAGCCAAAGCAGCAACCATTCCTCCTAACCCCTCTAAAATACCCTCCAGTAAAAGTCCTTTGTTGGAGCTTTAAGGTTAAATGGATACTGGATCTCAATAGTCAATCAATTAATTACATTCTATCATAATTGCTAAACATCTTTCAAAGCTCCATGACTTTAAGTCTCTTGTATGGGCCAGAAAATGTGCCCACTGCTGCATATCCATGACCTTTAATCTTCACCCTCTGAGATGTCAGAGGTGAAGGATCTGCTGAAGTCCCTTGGCTGGGAAATGTGCAGTCCAGGACTGACCCCTCATACCCCAGCTCTAAAAGAACTTACTAGTTCTATGGCACCAATACTGCCTAGAATACATGAAGAAGGTTCATTACACCATTTACCTCATCAATTTAAGCATCAAGTATGGTTTCCCAGAAACTGCATGGACAAAAGTGGACATTTTGAAAAAAATCATGAAAAGTCAAGTACCTTGGTTGATGCCTGGTCATACTGTGCTGTCAGTTCAGCCCTACTTTTATTCAAAACTTTCTCTTTTTCATTTAATTCCATTTTTGTTTTGTCCTGTTGGAGCTGGAGTTCTGGCCACTGATTCACTTGGACTTTCATTTCTTTCTCGTGTCCTGGCAGTTGTAGTTCCAACTCACCAGCCTGGCTCCTTAGCTCTTAAATAGCAAACAAAACCCGCACTTCCATTAACATCTGCTTTTCACATCAAATTTACAACTACATTCAGAATGTATTATTTAGGTTACTCTGCTCTGAAATCTTTGATCAGACAAATAGAAGTCAAAGCACATTAAACACAGAAGCTACTCTTATTGGATTTAATTTCAATGTGTAGTTTCCATTGTTATTTATACTCAAGTGTCCTGTAGAAAGCAGGAGAAACCAATTTTCTTGTTATTACAGAAAACTTGAGGGAGAAAATGCTTTCCTAAAATGGTGAATATTATTGGACTGAGGCTGCAAAAAGTGCATCACCTATAAAACCTTTCCTTCGGTCACCACTTGGTTTCACACTGGCAGACTAATACTTGTTTTCTGAGGACATCAAAGAAATAAGTGATGATCCCTGAAAACTTCACCCTCCCACATCTTCCAGTAGCTTTATCTCCAGTAAAGATCAAGGCAGTGTGAATCTCCTCTACTGCCAAAGTTCACCACACATTTTTCTTGATGTCCCCCCCCACATACACACAATATTGGTCCCAATGGTACTGGCAGTGTGAGAGTTCTCACCAGTGAACACCGATGATCATTTTGGATATATCATAGCACTGGCTATGATCCTAGTCTGCAGAGTAGAGTCCAAACCACCACCTGGTACCCTTGGCTGTCAGCTGCAGCCTGGGACAGTGGCCAAGGTCACAGGTTTGTTCCCATATGGGCAAGCAGCTTGCCTGCACAGAGCACAGCTGTTCTGCACACACATGCCACACCTCTGGCCAAAAGTGGCCAGATGCAGGCTTGTTTCACGGGGCACAAAAGGAGCCAGAGGAGAAGGCTGAGGAGTGTCAACTGTAACCAACCTACTCACCCTGCTTCTGCAGGACAAGTCAAAGGCATCCATCCTACCTTTGAAAGCTTCAAGGTCCCAGCTTATCAGGACAAATAAAGGTACCCTCCAAAATTGTGATATCTTTTCTCATTCTCAAAAAGACAGTATTTCCACATCACCAGCCTGGGATGCTGACCATGGATGTGGCTAACAAAACCCATAAGCACTTTCTAGGACTACAAATGCCTGGAATGACTTCTCAAATTATCTCAGGAAAATGGAAACCTGATTGAGCTCAAAACATTACCTTGACTCTGGGCATTTCGTTGATCCCAAAGTTGAGAACTGCTAGCATTATCACAGAAGCTGCTATCAGCACCTCTTTGCCCTACTTGCAAAGTTGATCTACTACTCAGGGTCACTTCCAGTTTCTGGGAGAAGTGAGATGCAGAGTAACCTCTGCTGATGGGAGTCTGTAGAGCATCAGAAGAAAGAAGACTTGGGGTCTGTTCTTGTTGCCATGGGAACACAGACCAGGAAGCCTGGTGTTGGCCAATGTTCAGGTGTTTCATGATGTTTTGTGCAATAACCTGGCTGGCTTTCTGTAAAGACAGAAACTCTTTAGTGTCCTTGAGAAATCATAGTATTCAAGACTCTTTTCAAGCAGAACATAAAGCCATGTCAACAGGTTAGCATTCCCACTGGGTACCAGGAAAGAACTTTCATCAAGTCAAGGGAACCAATAAGACCCAAGGCCCAGGGAGATATTCTTATAGTCGGACTTCAGCATTGAACGCTTAAGCCAGCACTGCTGAGGCCCAATCTGTTCCATGTGGGCTCAGTTTTTGTATCTATTCTACATCCCTCAAGTACTCCATTAAACACACAAGTGCCAATTTGAATCATGAAATTTGCTTTTCCTCTACCTGCCCTTTGTCACCACCAAAACCCCCACCCTCTGTAGCTTTGCGCAAAGAGAATCAAAATTCAATATCAGCCCTGGCTGGTGTGGCTCAGTGGCTGGGGTGCTGGCCTGGGAATCGAAAGGTCACTGGTCCAATTGCCAGTCAGGGCACATGCCTTGGTTGCAGGCATGTGAGAGGCAACCGATCACTCTATGTCTCACACATGCAGGTTTCTCTCCCTTTCTTCCCCCATCCCTTATCCTCTCTCTAAAAGTAAATTGATGAAATCTTAAATTTGTTTTGATATTAACCTACAGAGCTCTTTAAAAAATCTCACTTTATACCATATCACACCCCACCAAATGTCCTATTAAGTATCTTGTGTTACATAATAGACATTTGTGGATTTGTTTAATGTCTTGAATTCTTCTCTTTTCCTTTCCACCTGCATTCTGACAAGACATGGCTGGAGGTGCTACATTTCATTCTTTACCTAAGTGCTTTTCCTGCCACAGGGAGAGGTTTAATGGCAAAAAAAGAATTAAAATTGTTCAATCTCTAATGTGGGCTTTTGATCCCCAATATTTAATGTATCTACTTGGAAACTCTGCCTTCCACTCTTTGTGAAATTGTGCCATCTTATCAAGTTCTTGTTTAGCAGAAATACACCATTAAAGCCCAAATGAATTTTTTCAAAAAGATAATATCATGGGAGTAAACATGTAAAGAAAAATTCTATAGATATTTGTATTTTCAGAGTCAGTCCCTAAACAAGAAGGAGGGGTTTCTAAAACATGCATTTTGTTTATTTTGTTGATATTAAGCAAATGTCTTTATCCACTTCTCTCTGCTCATTTATGCACATCAAAATGGAGTTTAAAACCCTTGTCAGCAATGTCATTAAAGGAACTGGGGAGATGATGGAAAACATTGTCCCCTGAAATAAGCGTTTAATAAATAAGGATCCTCACAACCCATGTCCCTGGCAGCAGGCACCACAATCCATCAGAAAAACTGCATACGGAGCCATTTCCTCCAGGTGACAAAGCCAGTGTCAGGAATGAGTGTGGTCCAACCCTCTCCAAACATGCTAATTATCATTAGATCTTAATAGGGAAATAAATATATGGCTGCAGTTTCTATGGAATTTGAGGAACATTTAATATTTAGGGGTAAAGGAATCTCCCCACTCTATTTTATTCACTCATTGCCTCTTTCTTCAATTAAGAAATATCATAACCAGCCCTGGCTGGCATAGCTCAGTGGATTGAGCGTGGGCTGTGAATCAAAGTGTCGCAGGTTCGATTCCCAGTCAGGGTACATGCCTGGGTTGCAGGCCATGACCCCCAGCAACCACACATTGATGTTTCTCTCTCTCTCTCCCTTCCCTCTCTAAAAAAATAAATAAGTAAAATTTTTTTTAAAAAAAGAAATATCATAACCAGCCCTGGCCAGGTGGCTCAGTTGATTGGAGCATTGTCCCATTCACCAAAAGGTTGCAGGTTCAATTCCTGGTCAGGGCACATACCTGGGCTGCGGGTTTTATCCTGGTCAGGGTGTATATTGGAGAGCAACAGATGGAGAGACTGAGGGAGGACCAGATAGAGGAAGGAAGATGGAAGGAAGGAAGGAAAAGAGGAAGGAAGGAAGGAAGGAAGGAAGGGAGGGAGGGAGGAAGGAAGGAAGGAAGGAAAGAAATATCATAACCAATGTATGAGGAACTTTATTTTTTCAGTGGAAGGAAAATGCACCAGCTCTCTGTCAAGCAGATTTTTCTCTATCACTGTTGTGGCTTATATGAAAGCACTTTCTCAACTGCACACTGCTATAAGGCCTATATATAATTAATTTATCTTTGCCCACAAGGCTTTCACCTCTGCCTCTATTCTTTTCCATTCTTCAACTTCTTCATCATATTTTTATTTTTGATCTTCATGTTTGGAACCTAAACACAGACAAGGAGATACAGATTTACTTTGATCATTGACTTTGTCAACTCACAGATCATCATTACAATAGGTAATTCAGAAATGAGTATTTTAGTACAGCAGAAAGAACACTTCAGTTAGGGCAACAGATATTGGTCAAATTCTTCAAAGATCAAAATCCATGGAAACACGAGTGTTTTGAATGTTCAGAAATGAAATTCTTTTTGAAACACACCACAGAAGGATAAAGTAAAAAGTGTAGGCTGGCCAATAAGTCTGCTTCTTTGAATGAGTTTCTGCAAAAATCTGCAAAAGGCTGGCAAGAGGAAAGACACTGAAGTCATTAACGTCCCTGAAAATGGCTACAAGAAAGTTTCATGGTGGGATGCATTTTCCTAAGACATGAACTAAATTTTTGAAGCTTCCCTAGAACTGGTCCAAACAACTTGGTGGAATTTCTAAATGTAAGTAAAAAAAAAAATTTTCAGTGAAAACCATAGTCTTACTAACCTGATGGCTGAACAGAGTTCAACAGAGGTACCAATATACAGGTTACAGCAAGTAGCTGCAGTTTTTGAGTGCCCAGATTAGAAATTGAATTCAGAGCCGAGTTAATTTATTTCTTTGGCACAATTGAAATTGAAATCTCACTAGAAGAACTTTGGATATGAAGGGGAAAACTCCTTACCGCTATGATACTGACTTGGTGTTATTGGAGTGGTAAACAGTTTTGGTGGTGTGTCACATGCATTCCCAGAGACATCTGCAGGCCATGCAGCTTTCTGGCTTCCTTCAAGTTCAGATTTACAGCTGTTAGAAAAGGACACAGGAGGATGCCAAATCAAAGCAAAAGTGACAGAATAGCAACACCATACTGTTTCCAGAGAGGCCTCAGCTTACAAAATTCACCATGTCAGAACTCTTACCACTTCATTTACCCAATACACGTGTGACAGACATAAGCTCAGTCACCTGTCTTTACAGGGACTTAGACTAATTAGGAAAACAGAAATAAACCAATAATTACAATGTCATGAAGGTTATAATGAACACCTATAATAGCCCCACAGAGTGCAAGGAAGAGTTGGGAGGTTGGAGATATATTCCAAATCAATTTTATATTCTAAGCCAAAGAGAGAGACAGGGATATAAAAGAACCCAGAACTTCAGAAACATAGGAAAAATCTGTAATCCCTGAAGCATGGGTTAAAAAATCACAGAACTGGATGGCATTACTTATGTTATGAAGTCATAACAAAGCACAGATGTGATCTATGTACCACGTATTTTATGACATTTTATTAACTAATTAATTAATTTATTTATTTAGTGTGCGTTCAGGTAACAGTTTTAAAACACATATAATAATCAAGTTAACATAATGCATAAAAATATGGTGAAAACAGTTACAAAGAAATGGGGGAAGTAAGCTATATATTACGTATATGTGCAGAATATCCCTACAGTTTAAGTTCTGAAGACCTTTCAGAGTCAAACAACCTAGAAGAAGATTCAATGCTTGCAAGTCTCCAAAGTCTGACTTTAGCTTAATATAATGAATGCCCTATTAGAATGGCTAACATGCACCATTTTCTTGGGCATGCAGGCAGTCCTCCAAGGAGAGAGTGAAGACAGTGCCTGAGTGCCCCAGCTACCCATTTGGATGAATGTGTCTACTTTAACTCCTTGGTCATCAAACTTCCATACAATTTGATTTTCTGGCAGTTCGGGTCCTTTTGCCTTTCAAATTTGCTGTTGTGCTTCTTTTGGCTGAGTGAGGAGGCCAAGTATATCTACCTATGCCTCCATCTTGGTGGAAGTCTTGCAGGTGAATTCTGAAGGGCCTTGAAAAATTGGTGTTTCATTTCCATCTCAAAATTCAACTTCTACCCCACCCCCTTTTCCTATTCTTTCATTAAAAAAATAAAAGTTCATTTATTTTAAATAGTAAAAAAAAGTATACACCACTATCATTTTTTTTAAAAACAATAGTTTCTTCTTTCTCTTAGAGACAAAAACACACACCAGTACTACCATAAAAGCACTAAAATAAACTGTTTTTGACTAGGTTTGACAACATGAGGTTGCCAACCTTATGTTTTTGATCAGCCTTTCAAATGGTCCAACTGAACTTGCTCGAGACTTTCCTGAGACATAGCCGGTGGCTATTGATGGAGAAAAGAAGCTCCTGCCCTGCACTGGAAGGTCATCAGTGAGAACTTCAACTCTATACTCAACAGTTTGTGTGGTCTCATTATTACACTCTTTAAAAGTTCTTACACTAAAGACAGCTATACTTTTAATGGTTGTTACAGTCTGAAGTTTATATACCTTATAAACTTTTAGGAACATCTATATCCACATTACAAAATAAGAATATTTCAAACTCAATGTGCTACAGGGGTATTCTGACCCCATGAGGACAGTGACAATGGATAACAATGATAATAGTAATGCTGACATTTAACAGTTGCTCTGTGCCACGTACAACCCTGTGCAGTGTAAATCTCACAAATATTGCTACCAAATGGCACTTTGCAATGAAATATAGGGATGCATACAAAAGTGTCCTGTTCTAAAATGCTAAATATACAAATGTTTCTGTCTAAGTTATGAAAACCAGTATTTCTAAAACCATTCCTAAGTTATGAAAAGCAGTATTTCTAAAACCAAAGCTAAAATATGCTTTCCAAAGAAATGAATATTTCAGCATACTGAAGTGAGCTTCCCACTTTCCTCGTACTTGTTTTTCAAAATGAATGACTATCATTCACTCATTCATTCAACAAATATTTGAGGACCTACAATTGCCAGCTGCTGAGGATACAGTGACGAACAAGATAGACGAGGTCCCTGTTCTCATGGAATGTGGTAGGGCAGACAATTAACAAGCAAACAAAACACTCCACAAGATACAAGTTGATTCCTAATATGCAATTGAAAGATAGCCACCTTCCTACATGGATAGCAAATAAAATAAGAAATAGATCTCTGAGCCTAAGAAAACATCAACTAAATGCAAGGTGGAATCCTAGGTCAGATTCTGGAACAGAAAAAAGACATTACTGGAAATACTATTCAAATTCTCATTGACTCTCTAGTCATCAGCATTGAATCAATGTTGATTTCTCCTTTGGTCATTGGACTTTGGTTGTATAAATGTTAACAGTTGTTTCTGTAAGTCTACAGTCATTTGCAATATCCTTTTTCAAATCTATGGATGTGCATTTGCAGTCTCTGCAATGGAACCATTTCCTAAAGTACTTTTTGCTTTTAGCTTCCATCATTCCCATTATTTGGACAAAACTCCTCTCTTAGAACAAGAAGATACCATTCATGAACTAGCAGTGTTTAGGCCCCACTAAATTTATTTTGATAATGCCTCTAGTGTTTTATAAGTGGAAAAATAAGTAATAAGCACTTTTTTACTGCTTCAATAGGACACTGAAACTGGCAAATTGACTAAGGAATGCTTAAGCTCCCTCCCAGATGGAAATCTCAGGAGGAACCTCTTCTTCACTTTGCTTCCCTCCCTCCTTTTCCAGCTCAGATGTCACCACCCAGGATTTTAATCACTCTCTTCCCAATATCCTCAATCATTCCATGTCTTCTGTCCCAATGCCCTGGCCAAAAACAATCCTAAATCAACCCTCCTGTCCACCTTCTCAGCACTTATATCCCAAATGCTAAAGAAAAATAAATCATACATCTCTATAGATGGGTCCCACTAGAAATTCCTTTCTCATCTCCAACCACAACTGGTTGGAGGATGGTTGTGGTACTATTTACTACTGTATCACATGGTAGCACAGTGCTGGATCGTGAAACTCAATGATCATGGAATGAAGGAATGAGTGAAGGGAGCAACTGTTCAAGAAATTTCTATAGCACTGAGTTATGCACTGATAGGAGTCAAGTATGTCAGAATCAAGTTTCCTTAGATCATTATTGTTTCTACTTGGAAAAAGAAACCATTCCATTGTGTAATAATTATATCATTCAAGGAAAAGATAAATGCATCTCATGAATGTACACACAGATATCCATTTAAACACCATCCAAACAATTACCTGTTCAGTTCCTGCTCCAATTTCTCTATTTGTTTTTTGGTTGAACTCAGTTGTCCTTCTTGGATAGTCACTTGTGACTCCTTGACTTGAAGTTGGTGAGAGATCTTCTGCTTAGCCTTCTCCAGGTTTTCACATATTTCCATCAAGCTTTGATTCTCCTTCTTTAGGGTTATGGCCTCCATTTCTTCATTCTCAACCTTGTGGGGGTTGTTCAAAAGGAAAGAGTTCTCTTACTGTGTGAATTTCCCAGGTATTCTTTGAAAAATGGAGCCTAACATGGATGGCCCATTTTCTGAGAGAGGGCTGTAATCACCCAGATATCAATACCTGCTGAATGCACATATTTCTAGGACTGCACTTTAAAGTCTCCAGAGAGAAAAGTTCAACAAAGTCATGTATTGTTTATCTTGGCTCAGGCTACACATACCCATGCTAGAAAGAGAGGTTTTAGTATGCATTCAAGAATTAAGAAATAAATACAAATGAAAATAAGCCCTGTAAATCTCCCTTTGCAGTTCATTTTCAAGTTGGGCTGCTAAAGCCAGTAAGTGTAAGGAACTGGAAAATCCTCCCACTAGCAAAGACTGTCCCTAGAAGCAGTGACTGTATCTCTAGTACAGTAGTTCATGACATGGTAAGAAAGAAGCATTGTTGAAGTTTTCCTTTACTATTCCTGAAGAGATGAGGTCTGGGGATATCAAAGTGAAAAGCCCGCTCTCAAAAAGTGACAGCCATTTAGACCACAAAGTGTTCTCTACTGTCCCCTCCACAATGCTGGCAGGCAAGCAGAAAGGAGGATAGAGGATGAAGAATACGAGGTAGTTAAAATATCTCAAAAAAGACCCTGACTGGTGTGACACAGTGGGTTGGGCATTATCCCATGAAAGAAAATTGCCCCGGGTTCAGTTCTTGGTCAGGGTACATGCCCGGGTTGTGGCTTCATTCCCAGGTCAGAGTGCATACAGGAAACAACCAATCTATGTTTCTCTCTCAGAACAATGTTTCTCTCCTGCTCTTTCCTTCTCCCTTCCCCTCTCTGTAAAACTCAAGAAATGATATCTTTTTAAAAAAGGAATCCTGAAAGGAGACAGATCGTTACCCCCTAAGGGGAGCAAAACCATTTTTCCCTAAATTGAACAGGCCAAGGGGAAATAACTGATGCAAAAAAATGAGTGGACTGTTGTAAACCCCAGCTTTTCAGGGCTACCTTCTGTGTTTGCTTTTGCAGCACGGCCTCCAGAGTTTCCACTTGAAACTGCCTTTGCTGCCTTTCTTTCTTCAGCTTGTCCAGCTGTCCTTCAAGCTCATGGATTTTCTGAAGAGCTCTGGTGGGCAGCCCTTCTTTCCAATCTCCTAACGCCCAGCTCATTTGCTCTCTTTGATTTGTCATTCAACACAGTTGTGAATAAACTGAAAAGAATAACCAGACTGTTAGGCTTAACTAGAGTGCAAGAACACTGAAAAGTCTCAGAGAATAATGAGTGTACAGAATCATTTCTATCACCAAGATTGAAAATTACTTTTTTCACAACATAATGAAGCATACAGAACATCTGCCTTCCCATCCTCTGAATGGTGACTACCAATAACACTGATGGGGAAGTATGTCATATGCTAGTTTGGCATACCCTTGCTTTCTCTTTGTCTTAGTTCCCATTTTTGACTTCTTAGAGGACTACCTGCTCTCTACTGATCAGTTTGTTTCCATTATACAAAATATGACTATTTGGCCATGAGGTGTTGGGTGAAATAGGTCCTATAAACAGATAAAATATGCAAGCTTTCTGTAAATACTCTTCTTTCCCCTCTTCACGTCCACTGCCTTTTGGTTGCTCTTCCTCTGGGAGGTCCACCACCTGGTCACATCTCCTGCTCACAGTCTCTCGTGACACAAGAACCAACTCACTTCCCAGTAGCTTTCATTTGTTGAATTAATGCATGAATGAACAGAGCTATATCACTACAATTAGTACTAAAGTCACTGCAAAATGCAGTCAAGTCTCGCTGCTCACAGATCTTGACCAGGAAACAGGCATATAATCTCAGTGATTCAAATCCCACCTCAGTTGTCTACAAGATCTATGACTTTGGGCATGCTATTCAACTGCTCTGTGCCTTGGTTTCCTCATTTTCACAATGGGGTGTAATTATGGTGGCAACTACCTGAAGTCTCAGAACACTTTTCCATTTCTCTCTTTCAGCCTGTGGTACTAAGAGGCAAGTGACCTACCTCCTTCTCAGCCACATCTTAGGACATTTAAATCAGCTGGGAGAAAAAGCAAGGCAATGGTTCTTCATTCATTAGCCTTTAGCATTTACGTGGGAAAAGAGCACTCATTTTCCAGTTCCTTTGGAAATGGGGATGAGAATGAAGTCCCTAAATGAATTCCAAAGCCACTTTAGTAGTTTGTTTGAATTGTCTCTTCAATGAAATTTGTTATCAGAACAACTATTAAATAGTAGATGAAGGTACTAAGAACAATAACAAGGATTTTAAATTACTAGGAGAAGCAAAGATCTAGGAAAACAATTTATTTATCAAGCTTTGGCAGGCTGTGTTTTCTCTGCCAGTATTTTTTTTCTCCCAGATGACAGTTCTTTGAACAGAGCATATTACACTCCACTTCCATTTCCCCCCATATCTCCTGAAGGACTCTTCAAGCCTCTCAGCCAACAAGAGGCAATTTGCACTGTCCCAATAGACTGCTCTGTCCATTCCAATCTACCCATAGCTTGCTCATTCAGGGATGACCATATGTACCCCAGAGGCACACACTGGAACTGACCTCAAGAATTCTGCCAGTCACTGAAATTATTACATCAAGATGCTATGGGCAAGAAAATATTAAAAGGAGCAATTTTGACAGTTGACAGAGATGAGCTTAGGGAATTGGCAAGGATGCTCTGGCAAGTCGGATGCTTTTCTATTCCAAAATGAAGGACAGAGCTATAAAGAAGTGGTTAAAGCAATTAGTAGACCCAAAGTAGTTTGTGATTAGAGCAGACTTTGACTGCTTAAAGCATCAAGAATCTGCATGGAGCCACTGGGGGAAATGAGTCAAAGAATTCATCAACCTCAAAAGTAAGATGTGAGGGGTAAAGGATTGAGGGGGCACGGAGGCATGTTGAAGAGACACCCTGGAGGTCAAGGTTCCACCAAAGGGATTTACAGGACATCGTCCTTGCCGCAAAAATGCTCCTTCTAGCTCAGATACAGGGAGAACACTCTTCATGCCCGAATCCCACCACCAGGTAAAGTGCCTGAGGAAGCTCTTGGGTCAAGTGGGACTTGTCTGGCCCCAGCACTGCAGGCCCATTTATACCCTTGCCCCTTGTCAGTATCTCCCATCTCTACCAAGAAACCAGAGTTCCTGCCTACAGCGCCAAGGCTGAGCCTGAGCATGAAACCTGCCTGCTCCTCTAGAACATGCTCAAGGATAGGACTCGGCTTCTCTGTTCCTTGGTCCTCATAATAGAGCAGAGACAGGCGCACAGGTGCATCCAAATAAATAAAGGGAAAGGCAACAGAGAAATGCTCTCGCGACTAACAGTAAGCACACCAACGGCCGCCACTCAGACCAAAACCCAAGCTGGCAGCTCCTCCAAACACCAAAGGACCCAGGTCCACCTATCCAATAGGAGACACTGGTTCCTGTTACGGGAAATAGCTGCTGCTCTCCAGTTCTTTGACCTTACAAACTTGGAAACTGATCTCCAGAGTGCAAGTTTATGATTGAGCAGGGCCTAGGGACACTAGTGTGAGCACTAGTCCGGTGTAAGGCCTGGTCTGGATTCTCCAGTTGGGTCAGGGAGGAGGAAGTGGTCCGCTGCACCTTCAGGGCCAGGGAGCACAATCCCACAGGCACCCCTCTGCCAGTATCCTGGGGCAGAAAGCCAGCCTCGCTCCCACGCCTGCAGCGGTAGCCGGGACCCACCCAGCATGCTCACCTTGGCAGCACAAAAGGAAACACGCCCCTCAAAGGGTCGGATTCCTGTGCAGCCTCTGAGACTTGGAGTCCCTTTCCAGACTCAAACTCTCTGTCACCGCCACCAGTTTTCCACTCTCTGGTTTCTGCTCGCCACCAAAGTAGCTTCCAAACCGGTTGTGGTTGCTATGAGCAACGATGGGCCAAACGGATTCCCAGAACTCGCGCTGCCGCCTTTGATTGGTCATTTCAAATGGAATGAAAACATCAAGCTCTCACCACGTGTGGTGCCCACGTGCAACATCAGTGATGTTTTATCTGGAGGCTGGGTCGGGGTTTAAAGATTTTATTTATTTATTTTTAGGGAGAGGGGAAGGAAAGGAGAAAGAGAGAAAAACATCCAGGTATGATATCGTCTGGCATGCCCCCTACTGGAGACCTGGCCAGCAAGCCAGGCAGGTGCTGTGACTGGGAATGGAAACTGCGACCCTTTGGTTCCCAGGACATCACTCAATCCACCCAGGTACACTAGCCAGGCTGAGACTGTGTGCTCTTGCAGGAGAAAGTTTTGAGCCGCTTTTCCTGCAAAAATCTTGGGAGCAAGAGGCTAAATAGGAGGGTGTGGTCTACCATTGCAGCCAGCAGGAGAACGCTCTCTGGTGAGAACACTGAATACTGTGCAAACATTTCCACCTACTTATTAAATATGTAGTTTACAGCATAGATACGTGGTGCTGTACTTGCAGTGCATTGTTCATCCAGTGTCATTCTTAACCATTATTATAATGGTTAACCATTGACCATTAGGTCTCATTTTATTTAGAAGTTAACTGGAGCACACACAAGCCATGGTATTTGACACTGAACCTAGATCATGCAGGACCTCTTAGGTACTGTCTTCTTAGTGACCATATTCTTTTCTTTCCTTTTGTGAACTCTGCCCCTTCTGCTGTTGGGAAGGCCCCCTACTGATCCAATTCTAATGAGTGATTCGGGACACTTGTTAGCTGGGATTCCACAGGAGGACTTTGTAACTAGAAGAATCCCCCAAACCATGTCATCTCTCCTTTTTGGAAGAGTGCAGTTTCGTGTGTGTCTGTCTACTTGTTTTATTTCCTTATGCAACTTGAAAGAAGCCTCTAAAGGCAGGAGCAAAACAATGCCTTGCTACATTATTAGATCTCTAATGCTGTTGTTGTTCAATAGTTTCCCAACTTTATGTAAACCTCTCCTTAGACCGTTATACAACCCGTACTACTTCTTGCCTCTCACTGAAAATCTGCTCTTTCAGAGCCCAGTTCAAATGCTCTTCCTTCAGAAAACCTCCCTAATCTTACCCACCTGTTAGAAACTATTATGTCCTAAAAAATAGAATGCTTGTATGTTAGTTTGATATCTATGCCATTCAGTGGTTAGGGATGTCCACCATTCCTGCAAAGAATCACCTGTCAGGTGTTCAGTGGCATGAGTCTCAGAGGCTAATGCCCGTAAGGCTTGACTAACATTGTGGTGGACATCAGGGACATATACACAGCATTCTGCACCTACTAGGGCACATACCCCACCTTGGATGCACTAAGCATATCTAAAGCCAGACAATTCTGCAAGGCTACTTTTCTTAATTGATACACATTCTCATTTAAAAGGCTTAAGGAATCATGTGTAGCATTCTATGCACAAGCATTGTGAAAAGCCAAAGCAGTTATTTCAGTCTCAGTGACTATAGAAGCAGTTTGAGGAGAAAAAAACAGCTAATGATAATACCACCAGGGGGTGCACTTTACCTGGTGTTGTGATATAAATTCTTCGCAATTTGTTGGCGGGCTTACAAGTTTTCTAAACTTGAGCAGGCAAACAGGGCCATCCCCAAGTACAACAGCCAGTCCAATGTCCAGTCAGGTAAGGCCACCCATGCAAGCCACACATCCAGAGGGCTCTGGGAGGAACTGCCACCCATGCATCATCCTGTGTCTCCAGAAATGCACTAAAGTCTGAGTCTGACACAGGCCAATCAGAGTCCAGCCCACCTGGGCTTGTCCTTCGAGGTTCTCAGTGCAAAGGGGAGCTGGTCCAGCCAGCTCCATGGCTTCAGCTGTGAGCCACCCCAAGTCATCCCATATGGAGTAGCCACTTTATGACCTGGGCCAGTCATGCTGCTGCTTCACACCAGCATAGATATCAGTCCAGGTCACATTCCACAAGGGATGTTCACTGTTCCACTGGTTCTGAAGCCAAGCCCAACTGGAGACAGAATCAGGAGAGATGTGCCATGGGAGGCCAGCCAACCTGCTCAGGGGGAGTTCAGTGCAGACCCAGGATGCTGATTGGTCAGCCACTGAGGCATCGGTATGAACCCAGTCCATGAAGGTGTTACCTTGCACCCTAAGGGTGGAAAGACAGAGCAGTTATAGACACCAGTAAAAGCAAGTCACAACCCTCAGAC